TACAGAGCGCACTGCAGCAAACAATGTGGTTCTCTTGCAGATGAGGTTAAATGCTGAGCGATCCAGTGGCTGGTGTGGGAGGGGGGGGCGTAGAAAGAATAAATAGCACGGTGTTATCACAGTGATATCGGTAAGGTGTGTTACCGATGTTAAGAAAACGGTAATCTCAAGATTTAAGAAAGAGAAAGGAAGTATTACTTAATTCTAAGCTATGCCGTGAGGTGGGAGCGGGAACCTTTTGCTGGTCTTTTGAAGGGAGAGAGAAGGGTGAGGACAAAAGATAAAAAGAGAGCGAATGAATAGGAGAAAGAACGATTTGGGATTTTGCGTAAGACCAAGGGAAGTGTGGCACCTTAGGTGACGTCATCAAGACGATCGGTGGCCCTGTAGACACGGATGTCGTAGATGCTGCTCTCAAGATTAACCTGGATCTTCTGAAGCAATTTCTCTAATGAGTAAGGTTTAATGGCATCAACATTTAGGTTAGGCACACCTCTGGTAAAAATAATTCATAGCTTTTCGAGTTATTCTGCTCTCCATCCAATCAACAAAGTAATCAACGCAAAAAAAAAAAAAAAAAAAAAAAAAAAGGAACAGAAAAAAGAAAAATTCACACACTAATTTCTCTGACATATGGCTGAGAATCTCGGGCATCACGAAACTGGTAGAAAAAGGTAAATACTCGCCGGTTCTCTCGCCGGCGACCGGCTGCGTCGGATTCATTGTAAATATAGAGCCAATTTGTAGTGGCACGCCATTTTCGCCCTTATACCCACACCTACTTCCCTCGCTCGTTTGCCGCCGACGCCCGCACCCGCACGGATCTTCTCCGACGTGCCCCTGTGGTATTTCGCGATAGTCCTGGATCCTGTGAGGATTTTCCGCACCCTGCCATGGTTTACTTTCCTGTCGTGCTTGGAATGCAGGGGTGTTGCACGCGCGGATCAGCGACGAGCCAGCTACCCGCCCCCCTTGTTTGCCAATCCACCTGTCGTCGTGGTAGTTTCACATGGTTCACACCAGGTGAGGGCGTGGCAGCTCACAGGGGGTGAGGAGGGCAGACAGCGGGCAGCGACGACTGGAGCGCATCCACCTGGCTCCACGCAGCCTTTTTACCAGCTGGCGTATTCTTTTTTTCACGCTGTCTCCACCGGCCGCAGCACATCGGCCACACAGCCCACAGGTCACGTATAGTGCCGCCTAGTTGATCCCTGTGTTTTCCACCTGTGATGCTTGTGAACAATTAGATATGACTCCAGTGACTTTGTGCAGCCGCGTTTTGTGAATACTGCGCCAGTTATTTTTCTCATTTTCTTTTTTTTACGGTTTGCTGTTACTCTTTTATCCTTTTGTTTTATGCCTTGTTTAATTATAACTTTGCCAAGTACTGACGAATATCCATTCTCCATCTCTGCCCATTACTCTGCAATATTAAAATGTGATATATAAAAATGTAGCTAATGACAAATGAAAAAGGATAAGTATTCAAGTAATATATAATAGTATGAAAAACGTATAAAGAACGCATCTGGTATTATAGCAATATCTGAGTTAAATATTAAAGAATGAAAATCTTATAGAAACTATTCAAATTATCAAAATATTAAAATAAACATAACTTATTAGTGTGCCTGTTTAATATAACAGACGATTGTATGTGTAATGTTCAGTACTGCTTGCTGCGTTGCGGCTGATCCGTGACGCCAGATCGCTCGCGCCTCAAACGCTACCACGTTTCACCGGAACGCAGTTGTAACTATTCGCTACAGCCGTAACATTTGGCGGCAGCGTCGTGATCTATTACAGACGATTCTCTGCAAGAACCCATACCACAGTACCAACGCATGCAAGCAGCTTGTGATTTTTTTTTTCTCTCTCTTTTTTGCATGCATTTATTGTGTAAACGGACCTTAGGATTAGGTGTAGGGTTTATTTTTTTTTTTCTATCGGTTGTAAGTGCGCCCTCTCCGTATTCCCAGCTGACGTTTGCTGAGTTTGTTGGAAATGAGTGACGCGTGATGCACCCTCGTTATAAAAGCAAATATTTTTTTATGAATATTTGTGTCGTCGCTACAAGGTATTTATCGCGGTAACGTCGAGTTTGACGATAAATGCAGTAATTTTCCTAGTTTCTTTACATTTTTGTATTGCTTCAGTGGTCCTCCGTGCCGCGATCGTCAACGAAGCCGAGAGAGTGCACGAGCCGAAACCTATCGTTTTTTACTCGTTATTTATTGTTTTAGCGATGCCTACTCATACGCGCAGCGGGGCAGTGCAAGCTCCCGCTGGAATGGATGAGGGTATGTTGAATGCAAGTAACATCATGGTTGCAAGGGATGAGAGTGACGGTCCTGAAGGGAACCCTGATAATGCACCGGTTAACCCCACATCTGATTTTCGTATGCAGGAAGTTGCAGATGTTGCAACAGATCTAGATAATGAATTTAACATGTCATTCCAGATGTTCCATTCAGTAATGAATAGTTTGCGTGATACGAGGACCAGTATCGGTGAATTGAGAGTGTATGGATGACGCTCACGGGGGAATGGCAACCGCCTGTGAGGGAATGAATGAAACGAGTAATGGTATAAAAGAATTAACAAGCGTATTGAGGAGGCAAAGCGAAAGGATTGACCATTTTGTGGAAGCCATGACCTACCTGTCTGCCAGTGTAGCGCCTAATGTTAACCATGTAACTAGCGGTAGTTTTCCCCCAGGTCAACCAGGTACGCTCCGGGCCCGTGGCATCGGCCGCTGCGGTCAACGTCTCTCATGCCAATTCTCCTCCCCAGGTTAGACTTGATGGCTGCCAGATTCTATATTTCGAGGCGTCTCCCACCTCAGATGTCATGCAAGGAATCAGGTGTTGGAGAGCTGGTTACGGCGCATCGAGTTGCATGGACAGACGGACGAAGACCAAATATGTCTGGCTCGGTGTTTTTGTAAGAATAACGCCGAGTTGGTTATTAACTCCCCACAGTTCGACTCTGTTTAAGTCTGGCCACACTTTAAAACACTCTTGAGGCAGAAGTTCCGAGGCACGAGCTGCAGTAATGACTTTTTCACCTCCTTACAGAGGAAGTCCATGAGAGACAATCAGACCCCCCAGGATTTTCTGCTCGAGGTCGAAAGTGCAGTATACCTCGGAGCTCGAGATTACCCTCTCAAAATGGGGGAGCCCTCGTGTCTCGTAAGGCGAGTGTTCCTTTCAGGTTTACCCCCTTATCTTTCAGATTTCCTTGTTGCATGTGATGACCCTACTTTGTGTGATATTGCTGCCAAGGCGAACACACCGGTTCTGGGCCGAGCTGCGCGTACGCCAGTACGGGAGCCGCGACGTCCACTCCCTGTGGCTGCAGCAGCTGACGCAGTGTTTGGGGGGCAGGATGCTCCTGTTAATAAACCATATTGCGCATACCACTGGCTTCTCGGGGGCGTACGGCCCAAGCTCTCGTAGGTATTTCAGGGCAAGGTCTCCATACCATCGAAGAGAGAGACATCAGAGTCAGCATCCCGCGGGGACAGACAGCAGTACATCGCTTCATCGTAGTCGACGATTGTCAATTTCCAGCTGATGTTCTTGTAGGCATCGACTTTCTTCATCGATTCTCTTTTACTCTGCAGCATGACAGGTCCAGCCAGGCATTCCTGAGGATTGGGGGCACGCACTTACCAGTTGTCTTTACAGACTCTCCCTTGCTCGGTGTGTTGGCGGTGAAGGTGAAACAAGATGAAATTGCAAATCTAAACAACCTTTTCAGGAATCCGTCCTCCCCGTGTGCACGAGTGAGGAGAACAGTGACAATGCCGCCTCACTCAGGTAAATTTGTTTCTGCAACAGTTCGTGTTCCCGACCACGACGTGTTGATAGAAGGAAATGTAGGGGATTTATTAATACCAAGATCTCTTTGTAGATAGATAACATCATTAATGTATGGGTTGTAAACCTGGCTTATAAGCCAGCAAGGTTATGCCCAGGAAGGTTTCTCTCCGTAGTTACACCCATTAACGATTTCCTTCAGGTTGCAGCTGCAGATTTGCAGGAAGACTGCAAGCAGTCGGCAGATGATAACGAGCCCACAGGGGAGTTGCCCTCTTTAGATCACCTGCCTAGCTTTCAGAGCGATGCCTTACTGTCAGTGTTGCAGTCACACCAGACACTCTTTGATGGTAAAAAGTCTGAGGTAGGAGTAGTCCCAAGAATTTACCATTCAATACCCACAGGTGATGCCCAGCCCATCATGACGAAGCAGTGGAGACTACCTCAGATTTCCAAACAGGTAATTTTGAGACGAGTGCAAGAAAATGCTGAGGAGTGGCGTAATAGAAACGTCCACCTCTCCATGGTTATCACCCATAGTCTTGGTTAAAAAACGTGATGGCAGCCACCGATTCTGCCTAGACTCTCGCAGGATTAATGCTGTCACGATGAGTGATTCTTACCCCCTTCCTCGCATGGAGGAGTTAATAGATACCTTGGGTAGGAGTAAAATCTTCACAGTTCTTGACGCCAAGTCAGCTTACTGGTCCATCGAGCTGACGCCGTCAGATCGCCCCAAGACTGCATTTTCAGATGGTGTTGCACTGTGGCAGTTCAGGAGGATGCCGTATGGGTTGAAGACAGCAGGTGCCACATACCAGCGTATGATTAACTTCATACTGTCGCCTGCCTTAGGTAAGCATACCCTGGCCTATCTCGACAATGTGGTCATTTATTCTCCTGATTTCGAGACACACCTGAATGATTTGGCAGAGACTTTATTAAAGGGAGCAGGTTTTAAATTGAATGTGGACAAATGTAGTTTTGCTATGGATAGCATAAAACTACTTGGATTTGTTGTTTCAGCCGAAGGAGTGGCCCCAGACCCGGACAAGGTGAAGGCAACTGGCGAGATGCCAACGCCATGCAACGTCAAAGAGTCGGGTCCTGGATACGTACTGTCTGTCCCACATGCAACTTCGGCAGACTACGGGCATGCTGATCGTACCGCTGTCTGACTTATTCGGCTTGGGCGGCTGCTCGGCGGTCACAGTCTTCGGATTTCTCCTGCCATTCCTCTGAGAAGGATTCCGGGTGGGCCGGAAAGCAGGAGCGAAGCGGGCGTCCGTAGAGAATCTGAGCTGGCGATCTTCCTGTGGCATTAGGGATGTTGCACAGTTCAAGGAGGCCTCTGTCGAAGTCTTCATTGTCGATGTTGCCGGAGGGCGCCGCTTTCATGATGAGGTACTTGGTTGACTTAACAGCTGCCTCGGCGTGGCCATTCGACTGAGGGTAATGGGGCGATATCACATGGTGAACTCCCCATCGTTTCATGAAGTCCTTGAACTCGGAGCTGGTGAATTGGGGTCCGCCATCTGTCCTCAGGCGGAGTGGAACACCAACATCGCAAAAATAATGGCAGACCATGCGTGTAGTGCATGATGCTGTAGACGAGGCACCACAGGGGACGACGACAGGCCAGCCAGAGAGACGGTCTGCAATCACAAGGAACGGTTTCCCTGCGACTGTGAAGAAATCGGCTGATACCGACTCGAAAGGTCTCGTAGGATGGTCGTCGTTCTGCATGGGTTCCTGTTGTTGGCTGGGTTGCATGACCTGACACGGCTGTCAAGCTTCTACTGTGCTCTTGATGTCAGCATCTATTCCAGGCCAAAATACGGTCTGCCGTGCCCGACGTTTCGTCGCCTCTACGCCGCGGTGGCTGGCGTGGAGTTGGGTGAGTGTGCGTCGGCGATAAGCAGTAGGTATGATAATTCGTTGGCCGTACAGAACCAACTCCCCGTCGGCAGAGAGGCTGTCTCGGATTTTCCAGTAGGGGAGCAGCGACTTGTGCAGGTCGTATCGGTTGGAAGGGAACCCAGTAGACATGCAATCCTTGAGGCGGGCATACTCAGGGTTGACACTTGCTGCTTCGCGTAGCTCTTGCAGGGTTCTGTCGGCGTCTTGAGTCTTGGGGTCAGTTACGGTGCCGATGGTGTTGCAGGTCACTATACTCCTCAGGTGGGTTGCTGCGTCATTGCAGAGATTCTCGTCCTCTGATGTGGGGCGGCTTACTGGGGCTCGTGACTGGGCATCTGGAATGTGGAGCTGTTTCCCAGCTCGCCATACAGCTGTAAACTGGTAGGGTGAGATATGGCCCTTTTAAGCATTGAAGGCGAGGATTCTCTACTGTGTCTAATGTGTACTTGTTGAGAATCGGTATCAGTGGCCTGTGGTCGGTCATCAAGGTGAAGTTCAGGACTCCAATCAGGTATGGTTTGCATTTGGCAGTGGCCCAGATGGCGGCGAGCATCTCCAATTCAATGGTGGCGTATCTTGTCTCAGCGTCGGTTAAGAAGTGAGAGCCACACTCAACAAGGCGTAACCGTCCCTGGCCATGATCTTGTAGTAGGGCGTAGCCAATACCGTAGAGTCATGGCGTCTATTTGTAGCACAATTGGGAGTGATGGGTTGAAGTGTGCTAACACGGGTGGTTGCGACAGTGCTTCTTTGACACGTCGGAAGGCCTCGTTGTGGTCGGCTGTCCATATGAATGTGTGTTTTGGGCTCAGCAAGGGGCGGAGTGTTTGGGCGGTAGCCGCAATGCTTGGGGTGAGTTCTGACAGCTGGTTCACCAGGCCCATGAAGGAACGCAGGTTGGTCACGTTTGCAGGTGTGGGAAAATCACGGATGGCACTGACTGTTCTGGTCCGCTTCTATGCCCTTGTTTGAGATGGTGTAACCACAGAAGCTTACACTAGGGGCAGCGATCACGAATTTGTCTCGGTTGAGAGTGATCCCATTCTTGCGACACCTACGAAGCATCTGGTCAACTTGCTGGATGTGGGTCTTGAAGTCGTCGTCATAGAGGAGAATGTCGTCCACCACTTTGACGCACCTCTGCATCCCCTGGAGAGCTATGTCTCCTCGATGGCAGTAAGCGTCTCCAGTAACTGAGAAGCCCATGGGACCCCGACGGTGCTTGTATCTTCCGTACGGCGTGATAAAGGTTGTCAGGTGTTGGTCCTCCTCGGCAAGTTCAAGTTGCCAATATCCGCACAGGGCGTCCGCTTTTGTGAAGTACCATGATGGGGTAACTCGGACTGCATCGAAGGGTGTTGGTGAAGGGTGCGTTGGTCTGGATACCTGACTATTAAGATGGGATAAGTCGACGGTGATCCTCACTCCTTCATCCTTTGCTACGGTGACTAGTGGGTGGCACCAATCTGAGGGGTCATCATCAACAGGTGCGATGATGCCTTGGCATTCCATCGATTCGAGTTCCTCCTTCACTTTTTGCTGAAACGCGAAGGGGATTGGTCTTGGGGTGTGAATGGCAAATGGGACTGCTCCTTCTTTTAAGTGGATCCGCATGGGCCCACCTATCGTCGGTTGTAGCGGGGCCGCTTTGAGATCCTGCTTGATGAGCAGCACGTCATTGTATTCCTGAAGGAAATACTTTCTTGTGATAGCAGGTCAGGTAGGTGTGACTCGGCACACCTGTTAGCGTGTTTGATCTCCAATATCGGCTTCGGAAACTGGGGAGAAATGATGGCTAACTCCTGGCAGTGCCTGTAAGAGAGGAGGGGAGTCGTGACACCATCATGGACTTGTATCTTCGCTTTACAAGTCTTCTTTCCCAGTTGAAGTTTTGCTTGGAAAAATCCCAAGGCAGGAGCCATTTCTGATCCATCAGCTGTGAAAGTAGTGGTGGACTCAAGGGGTTGTAGGTTGCTGCATGGAATTTTAAGCTGTTCGAGATGCTTTTTGACTATGATTGTGACATCAGCGCCTGTGTCTGGGAGCATCTGTAATCTTGATGTCTGGGCGTAGGTGAGAAGAATGCATACGGGCTGTGGGGTCTTGCTGTCTGCTGATACACGTCGACAGTTCTTATACTTTGGACGTGACACTGGTCCTTTACTGTAATCCGACTTTCCAGATCGGCACACCTTGGCGAAGTGTCTCATCTTGTGACATGAGTTGCACGTGACATCCTTGGCAGGACACCTAGCAGTCCGGGGCCAGTGTCCTCTGCGTCCGCAATTCATACAGATGGCTTCTTTGGCGGGGCATTTTCCGGTGTCGTGGCGTCGGTTACATGAACGGCAGGAATCAGCGTTGGGCGATGAAGGCTTGTTCTGACTTCGTGGAGCTGAGGAGCGGGTCGTCTTGTCTCGCTGTTTCCTCTTGTAGCTTGAAACAGCACACAGTTGACTTGGGGATGAGTGGATGGCTGATGCAGCGTCCTTGGTGGCCTCGAACGATCGGCAGCAGGTAACCATCTCTTGTAGTGATGCATCTGTGTGCATGGAGATGAGGCGCTGCACGAGCTCTTCATCCTTGACTCCCATCAACAGGATCATCTTGAGCTGTGCCTCCACACAAGTAACTGGATCGCCTGAGCACAAGTCCACTTCCTCAGCTAAGTCCTTCAGTCTTACATAGAAGTCAGAAAATGTTTCTCCTTCCTTCTGCTTGCAGCATAGAAGTTCTCGTCGGCGTAGAGCTTCGTTGCGCTGTTCTTAAAGTGCTTCTGGAGCTCGTCGAGTACCTCGTCAACTGTCAGTGATGTGTCGTGTGCAATCCCCAGGGTATGTTCAAGGGTCCGTTGCACGTCGAGGGACACAGACATCCTCAGCTGGATTAGCTGCTTTTCTCTGGCCAGCTTCTGCAGATCAACCATGGTGGCGTAGTCATCCCAGCTACGGCGCCACTGGCGAAACGTCTGGAATGTATCGTCAGCACGTAAAGTGGGCGGTCTGTGGGCGATGGTCTTGCTGGCAGGATGCATCACTGGTGAGGCACTTGATATATCCGTGACGGCAGGGGAAGTAATGACTGATGAGGCAGCGGTGGAAGTAATGGCAGGTGAGGCCTCGGAGGTGGGTATGGCAGGAGTGAAGTCGGGTGCAACAGGGTTGTGCTGAGGTGTGGGTTGTTGTGGTGCTAACAACTTTATTAGGGCTGCAAAGCGTTCAGCATCTTCCTTTCGTCGTTTCTTCCTTCTGTCTTCTTTGTTCTTCTTCTTGTTGCCTCTCCTGACGTCTTTGTTGTTCTTGTTGTTGCCTCTCCTGACGTCTTCTTTCTTCCTCTTGTCGTCTCTGCTCCTGTTCTTGAAGTCGCTCCTGGCGTCTTCTTTCTTCCTTCAATAGTCTTCTTTCTTCCTCACGGGATCGCCTTTCTTCCTCTTCTACCCATCTGCGGTTCTCAGAAGAGATTCGTGACTCCTCGAGGTACTTTATGAGGTGAAGTAAATCTGAGGGTATGAGGTGAGGCGTGTGAACTGAGGGGAGATCGAGAGCTTGTTGTGGCGGGGTTGCGGTTCGGGAGGACAGTCCATTGTGGCCGTCTGGGTGGCCCGGGAGTGGCCCAACTACTCCGTCCGTTTCTTGGTCACCATGTGGGGTGTCTGCGCGCTCAGGAGATCGTCGTGGAGAAGACATTGTTCTTCACGAAGCTGTATGCAAACTGATAAAACAATCACGGCTCAGTTTCATACAATTTAAAGAGTTTCACAGTGCGTCAATGTGTGGAGGGAGCGCGCGAGCGTGTTAGTGCGTGTGTCTGTTACTCGGGTGTTGGCGGGGTTTAATGGCTTCCGCGCACCGAGAACGGCAGTGTCTCTCGAGACGTAGCCAGATAAGGAGCCTGTAGCAAGATGCAGTCTGTGGGCACTGTCACTGGGTTGAAATCGCCGGGGATGGCGTCGGTTGAGGAAGCAGGGAACCGGTTGCCAGTCTTTTTCTTCGTTATTTAGCCTTTCTCGTTCACCTTTACGAAAATACTCACTGCGCCATGTATGGTCTTGTCCGAATGATAGTTCTAGGTTCTATTAAAAGGCTGTCTTCACTTTAGAGGCTATATTAAATGGATAGAAGGAAGAGGCGTGCGGAGATCGTCCGTACGGCTCAAAGGAACAGGCGAGAGGGTAAACATGAATTGGCGTGACGTCACTGTCGTCGCCAAGGGAGCACAGGGATACGTGGTATAAAGGATAAGTATATAACGGTTACATAAGCTATGTAATAGTACATACACAGGGAATAATATGTACAGTATCATCAATAAGTTTACTGGTGTATAACACGTATCTACAAACGGTGTACCTCATGCTGTGGCATACTTCAGCCGCAAGTTGCGTGGGCCTGAGGTACGGTATTCGGCGACTGTTGCTGAAGCACTGGCAGAAGTGGAGGCCATACGTGCCTTTAACCCTTTTAGCCCTTACGGGATCTTTAGATCCTGCCTTACAATCGTCGCTATTGTAACACGGTTTATTGCTGTAAGCTAGAGATCGCCTGTGGGGAGTCTCAGCACCCATCTATAATTGTGAATCATCGGTCATTTGGCACCTGCTGTGTTTATATGTCGCGAAAATGACAGATGAATGAAACTTTTCTTGGCATAGGACCTACAGAATTTCACCTGTCTTTTCGACCACTTCTGGATGGTTTATAGGGTGAGTATCCATTCTATATCTACATAAGTTTTAGAAAAATGTATATTGATTATCATGAAATCATCCTTTTGTGATAAAACTTCATAAATGGGAAAAATATTGGCGGATATTTGGCGGCTCCCGACAGGAAGGCGAGTGCGGAGGCGTATTTTTCAAAGCTCACTTTTCACTAGTAGATACGTGAAAGCTGCATATTTGCATGATATGCCGTGTCCTTTTGCTTCTTAGAATGAAGCCTAGTATTCTGATCGTGCATTATATTGTGATTCCCAGTAAAATATGTATTGATTTTTTCATTGTATTTTTCAGATTCTAAATAAACCAGTAGCAGTATCATAAACCTATTACAGCTGTCTGGACCTTGTAGATCATGAATATTCCTCGGGTAAGTTGTGAAAAATATTGTAATACTTACAATATACAATAGAAAATGTATGGTCCATAGAAAGTAGATAATGGGCAACTGAGCTGTTTTGTATATATATATATATATATATATATATATATATATATATATATATATATATATATATATATATATATATATATAGTAAATACTATCCTTGCTGAGACAGTGAAACCAAGTCATATATTTTTTGCTAATTTTTACAGGTATGGCAGCACAAGCGAGGCCTGGACGACGAATCAGTGGCAGTATTGCTGGAAAATCTCCCGTCGGATTATGGAGACACAGACACTGAAGATGACACAGATGATGAGGCTCCAGGTTCTAGAGACCTTATCAACAATGATCCACGTGTTCAAGAGGAATGTTGCACTATTATCATTGGAGGTGATGAGACGGCTCCTGATGCTGATGTAGGGAACCCTGATATGGATGGAAGGCCTATAACATCGGAGGATGACCAAACCTCACAAGTAAATAACAAGAACAAAGAGCGTCGCAGATGGAGGAAGAAATCACAATCAATAGAAGAGGGAGTTTCGACCAGAGCAAATTGGTGCAAACTCAGCTACAAACCCAACTGATGCCTTTTTCCTATTTTTTGATGCTGAACTGGTTGACAGACGTAGTATTTGAAACAAATTTGTACTGCACTCAGAAAGGAAAAGTTGGAAATATTACGATAAATGAAATGTATGTTTTTTTGCATTTAACATTATAATGGGCTACCATCCTCTACCTTATATATATATATATATATATAATTATATATATATATAATATATAATATATATATATATACATATATATATATATATATATATATATATATATACTATATATATATATATATATATATATATATACATAACATATACATATATATATATATATAATATGATATATATATATTAATATATATATATTATGTGTTGTGTGGTACGTTACCGGCCGTGGTCCCGGGCGCTAGTTTCGTGGTTA